GGTTTGTCTATACACAAAAATTTTACACATAAGGAAGGTTATGTTTGGGGAATCAATAAATGGTCTCAGATTTGCAACAATATGGATGGACCTTGAGGGCATTATGCTAAGTGAGATAAGTCCAACAGAGAAAGACAAACACTGTTTGATATCACTTACATATAAAATCTAAAATGCTCAACTTATAAAAACAGAGAGTAGAATGGTGGTTACTAAAAGGTGGCAGAATTGGGAAGATATTTAAGGGTACAAACCTGCAACCAGTAGATAAATAAGTTCTGGAGACCTAATGCACAACATAGTGATTATAGTCAACTGTATTATAAATTTCAAAGTTGCTAAAAACTAGATCTTAATCGTTCTCAACAAAAATAAATAATTATGTGATGTGATAAAAGTGTTAATGCTACTGTAGTAATCATACTGCAATATAGCAATATATCAAACCAGCACATACAAACTTACACATTATGTGTCAGTTATACCTCAAAAAAATAAATGGTCTCAGTCCATGAAATCATTCTTTGGAAGACTACTTCCATAAATCACTCTTCAGAAAATAATGTTAAAAAGTTTATCTTGAAGGTTTATGGTAAAATTTCAGTTTCAAATGACTTTCATTTCTTCCTACTAATCTTCACATGCACTACTTCAACCATACCAACCAGAAAGAACAGCCAATGAAAACATTCACTAGATTACTACTCCTCAAAGCATGGTTCATGAACCAGCAGTGTCAACAGCACCTGAAACCTTACTAGAAATTAAATTCTCATTCTCCACAACAGACCAGGTGAATCTGATTCTCTGGGGTAGAGCTGAAGAATCTGTTTTCACAAACTGTCCTGGTGATACCTATGTATACTCAAATTTGACAAAAACTACACTAGACTAAGATCTCTGAAAATGGCAAAGAGCTATCTCTACTTTTTTCTTTATCAAATCAGTAGAGTTGAGATATTATCTTAACTTCACATCCAGAGTGTAGTCTGTGAATAAAATGCTTAGCAAAAAATACTTTATTAGAAAAATATGCCATTTTAATTTCACAGAACAATCTAGCAGCTCTTCAAAGTTCTTGATAACTTTACTTGTGCATCCAATTTCAAAAAAACTCACAAAACCACTCCATGACAAAATTTATTAGAACACACTTTCCAGCAATTCTTAAAACAATTTTGTAGCTTACCTTGTATTGCTCATTGGGACCCAGTTTGTTCCAGGGTTCTGGGTTATTCTTTTTGTCCCAACTAAAACAAAACATTATAATAGTTATAGCAATAAAAACTACTTAAAATAGTTTTGTACTTCTTAAAAAGCTAATGTTTTGAATAGATCAATCTCATTTACTACTGGGTGAAGTACAGTATTGTTTTCATTATAAAGTTGAAACAGAGATTGGATCTATACTAAGCAATCCCATGTAATCAATTATTAAAAAGGTAAACACAGCATCTTCGGGCAGTTGTCCTTGTCCCTACCCTTGGCACAGGAAACTTTATACTTGGCTGTTAGTAAAGTTTTCTTTCATCAGTGAAGTGACATAAAAAAGTGCACAGAATAACAATGAATCAATCTTTTTTCCTTGCCTGTTGTTTTCCAACTTCAAAATAAACAAACAAACCAACCAACCGTATGTTATTGTTGAAAAGCAGGCAAAAAACATTTACATGTACCAGCAACCCTGATTAAGTGTTTTATCAAAACAAGTATCTCAATCTTTACAACATTATAGGTATTAACAGTTCTACTCCAACAATGGAAAAATGAGGCTCAAAATTTAGATGATCTCATGAACCAGGAAAAGCAAATGACAGCGGCAGTTTTGGGATCTGAACTTACTATACGACTACAAAACTCGTGTTCTTTCTATGACTTGATGATGCCTCCTTAGAAAGACTGTGGCTCCTAAACCAGCTTAATAAACCATCCAAGTCCCAAACGTTAAGTACTTACCAGACATCTGGATTGAACAATGCCAGGCGTGTGACATACAACATTGCCCCAGTACCTCCTGCTCCAATAAATACAAAGAGGGGGATCAACTGGAATCAAACACAAAATAGACAAGATTTAACAGTCAACTTTAAATACCTAGACACTAACAACAGAAAGGCTACGGTAGTTTTTACACATTGATTCCCAAGTTCCAAATGCAATTTTTCAATTCTGCCTAAAAATTTTAATGAGCGTGGACTTTACACTGAGGTGTTATTTCTTGTAACTGTGTTCAAAAGAAAGAAGTGGAATTTCCAAAGGATGCGAAGACAATTCCGGCTTAACGTGGAAAAAAATTATATTCAAATTTTAAAATTTCCAAGAAAATACATTGCCTACTTCACCTTTCTTAACATTTATGCATCACTCCCATTAAATTTCCCAGCTTCCTTTATTTCGAGGCTTAAAAAAACAAGCTCTTGGCAAATTATTTAAGCTTGCCTCAATATACGTGCACGGAAAACACAAGTTCTGTGGCATAAAAGAGCCTGAATGAGCAAACAGAAACACAGCGGATACATATACTAGTTTTAGGCATAATCTCTGAGAATGTCCTGCTACCAACGCTTAACGCGTAGACAACTGAGTTTTTAAGCCACAGCGCGTTGATGTGCTGGGGGGGGAGGGGAGGGTGGTGGTGAGAGATTCAAGAGAACTGAACTGCAATTAAACTCTGCGCTATCAAACTCCCCAAAATGTCAAGGTGTCAAGACAAACTGAGGAGTCCAAGACCACAGACCCTCACATTTGCCACAAGGCCTAGCGGGGCAATACCGTGCGTACAAGACCCTTAACAGACGGCACACAAAAAAGGGCAAGCTCAGCTTTACTGTCTCTAACGGACACAGCGCACAACCACCCCTCTTCGTCCGGGCAACCTGCAAGAAGGCGCGGCCACCAGGCTATTCCAACATTTACTAGTTTATTTTCCTCCAATGTATCCCTCACCTTCAGCCGGCCAGCCCGCACCCCACAATGCACGGCGGGGAAGGTCAGAACTCAAGGGCCTGGAGCGACCAGCAGGACAGGTCGAAGTGAGGCCAGGCCTAGCCTCAAGGAACGAAGAGAATGCGGCCGCCAAGGAGGAAGCTCCCAGGGGACTGAGGCAGCCGCATTCCGACACAGGGTGGGCCTCTGGGAAAGGGGTCCCAAACTTACGCTTGGATGCTTCTTGGCCTGACTGAGGATCTGGCGGAGCATGGTTGCGGCAGAGGGCCCGGAAGCACAGGAAAACAAGACTGCACCGCCCGGCAGCAGGTACTCAGTACTCGGAGGCCGAGCGGACGGCCAAAGTCACCCAGGACCTCCTACCTGAAGGACCCCTGGCTCGCACGGCAACCTGCGGCAAGAGGGCCCGGCTGCGGTTGTCCATAACAGTGCCTGCTTCACACAGCAACTCACGCGTCTGCTCTAACCTGACCAGTCCCTCAGCGTTCCACTCCAAGGGAAACAGTCTTATTCCTGTGCGATGTATAGTCCAGACGGGTAATTTTTTTCCGTTAAAACTGGATCGCTTGTATTGACTAGACAGGCACTTTCTCCGGAGGCCACGTGCTGAAAGGTGGAGGCGGGCGGGCGCACGTCCCGGCGCGCGCCCGGGCAGCCGGGTCCTCCCGCGGGGCGGCTGTCACCCGAGTCC